GATTTTTAAAAAGAAAGTTATAATAGCCTTGACTTTGAGCTCCAGATAAGAAGTTCTTGGGAACGCAATTGGTGCTGCCATTCCCAAACTGTTTGATGAGTGTATTAAGCTAGAACCAATGATAGATGTATAAACCATTGGGGTGTGCAAGTTCTTACTGTTGGAGAAGAGTTCCACATATAGAATTGCACATACAGAATGAGAGGAAGCCAAAGAATCCTTTAGTCTGAGGATCAATTTCAAGGTTTCCTGTGACTTCTTAGGAAAGAAATGAAGGTCAGTGGATACTACCAAGCGATTTTCTCAAGATGACAGCCAGTGTTCCAGATTTGGAAATAGATGAAGCAGCAGCATCATACAGGACAAGGCAGATATGGAGATTGAGGAGGGGAGCTGGCAGAGGGTAATGGCAGGTAGAAGAGAGAGCCCACCTGGAGAAGGAAAAGGGTAGCCTGTGCTTCATTTCCCAGCACAAACATTGTCCTGTTGATAGATGTTACCAGCTGTTAGATCTGAAGTGCTGTAGGAGTGATGAAGATCAAAATTAGTACATAGTCCCTGTCTTCCAAAATAGAGATAGTAGTGTGGTGATAGGAGCCTTGGTCCCGCCATGATGGGGCCTTTTAGCTCCAATTTAAGACCAAAGACCTCAGGGCTTGAACAACAAACATCTATTTTCTCACAGATCATTTGGTGATCTGAACGGAGCTGCAAGCATGGCTGGTGTTTGGCAATGCCTCTCTCCCTGACTTGGGAACAGTGGCCTCATCCCATGTTGTCCCAAAGCCAGTACACTCCTTCTCTTTCTCTTCTTACAATGACCTATGGGCCTAGGGTCCCATCCTTATGACCGCTCATTTAACTTCTGCTCTCCCAGGCTCAGCCTCCAAGTCCCATAAGACTTGAGGTCACAGGGTTATTTTTTACAGTTTTAACCTAAGAAATAGAAGTAGAACATGCACTCTCCAGTGCATAACACTGTGACCCAGGAAACTTCCCTTCACCTCACTCTCCCTTATCCTGCACTCATGGATGACAGGGACCATAGCCACATCCCCTGCTGCTGTAGGAAAGTTAACACTCATAGAATATCCAGTGCCTGGTCTAAATAGAATAAGCACTCACTAGATTACATTCATGACTTAACTCAATATCTGATTTATAAAGCCGCCTATAACCTTGCTAGAGAAGAATTAGGAGCACAAGGGCACCAATATATATCTTTTCATAAGACAGTAAAACTTCGTGTAGCTCAGTGTGGCTTTGCATAGCTGGATGTAGACCTCTCTGACCTCCCAGTACTTGGGTGAGAAAGGAAACCCCATTGCTTATTGGAGAGATTTGACCCTGACAAGGTGTTCGTTGTACCTAAATGACCAGCAGCCAGCAGTGCCTACTGGCTCACACCCTATTTGGTAACACAGGACTCCATTCTGTTTCTTTTTCACACAGTGCTTGGTGACTCAATAGCATTGCTCTCCCACCATAATACATAATTTCCATGAACTTTTTGAAGACCCCTTCAAGATAATGTGGCAATTCTACAAATCTGATTATCAGCCCCTTTGCCAAGGTCTTGGGTGGTGTGACTTTCCTGAGCTAATTCTGTGGTATGACCGCTGACGTCTCTGCTCAGTTACTCAGTGGCCAGCCAACTATTAGAAAAAAAAGATTTCTTGAAAAGCCTGGAACAAACAGGTCCCCTAGTCTTTGTCGAAGGTCTCTGTGCATGTTGAGAAGCGTCTTCAACAGTCAGTCATGCATCTCACCTTCACCTCCTGGGTGTACAGAGCTTCGAGGTCCATCGGAGGCAAGAAACCAGGGACTTGAGCTTTGCGGGGATGTACATATCCCACATGCACATCAGGCCTTCTGCAGTCTGCACCACAGCTTCCCAAAACTCGATGTCTTTCCCCTCGTCTCACTTCTCTTTTTTGTATTAACTTGCTATTTTCCCCCAAATGTTATCACTGCCCTAGGAAGTTGCAATATAAAATCAATGCTGCTGGTTTTGGAAAGGCATCTATGAAGATAGCTGCTGTGGCTGGCACTGTGGCTGAGCAAGTTAAGTCATCACTTGTGATGCCAGCTCCACATATCAAAGTGCCAGTCTTGGCTGCTCCATTTCCCATCCAGTTCCCTGCAGAAGATACCCTAGTTCTTGCTCGGGTTTGTTGGTGAGATTCAGCCATCTTTCCTGAGCAAACACTCCTGGAGTTCATTTACAGAGCTCCAAGGAGATTCCTGATGCCACCTTTCACAGCACTTGGTGTTTTGGGGAGGACGGGGTTTCAGACAGCCTCAATCTGTCCTTCAAGATAACATCCTTTCAAGGTACCTTTGACATCTCTTCACGCTTCTATATCAAAGTGTCTCTCTTCTGGTAATTCCAGTAGGCTGTAAAAATCTTCCTTCAGATACCAATTTTCATAATGATTTTGGTTTCTAGTTGTGTTTGGTTATTGGCACATCCAGAAATGTGACATAATTCAACTGCTAAACAATTAGCAGCAATTGTTTAACATCGTAGCTGCCCAGGAAACTGATCATAGTTGGAGGAAACAACAAAATAACCAGAAAGTCAAACAGAAGTCCAAGGAAGGACATCCACAGGAGGCTTTGGAAAAATTCCCACATATTCCTGAGTATCTGGAGGATGATGCGTGTTTGAGCAACACATGCCGTCTCTGTTTCTAGCCACTTTATAATAAATATGTGCTTCTTCTATGAAAAGAGATTTTTTTAACTAGTTGTTTTAATGACAACAGAGACAGAGATCCTTCCCATCTGCTAACTTACCTCTGAATGTCCACAGCTTCTGGGACTGGACCAGGTTGAAGCCAGAAGCCAAGAACTCAATCCATGTCTCCTATATGAGTAACCCTCAAAATTGAACCAATAGCTGCTGTCTTTCGTGGTGTGCATTAGCAGAACCGTGGAAGTGGAGCTGGAGCTCAAACCCAGTGAATCTAATAGTGGATGCATGAAGCTCAACAAACCACTTAACCACTGTAACACTCACTCACTCCACTGTAACACTCACTCACTCCACTATAACACTCACTCACTCCACTGTAACACTCACTCACTCCCCAAGGAGATGCTTTGTCCACTACACCTCTGACTTCATGTTTGTGCCTCATCCTTTGCCAATATGTCCCTGTCAGGCCATCTTCCTCTACCACTCCCAAGCATGGTGAAAGATTAATCCAGAAGAGAAATACCATTTGAGAAACAACAATAAGGCCATGTCAGGATTTTCTTTCCAGATTTTGAAAGCTTGAGACCTTGAACAGTTTTTGTCGGCCAGTCAGGGGACCACTGAAGAAGGACAGATTCTGGTTTTGAGATTGGGAAGAAATGCACAGATGTGGAGTGAGGCCTGCGAGCTCTGACAGCTGCAGCTGGGCCAGTCACTTTCATTTTTGGAACACAAATTTCTTCTAGACACAAGGAGCAAGAGAGATAGTGCTGGGACATTGTGTTGCCCTGAGCCCTTCTGTGTAAACACCCCCATGCACTCCCTTCTTCCAACCCCACCCACATTCAGCACAGAGCAGATGCACTGCACATATTATTGGTTGTCCTAGTAGATGACATACTGACTGATTGCTTGGTCCCCCGGCTGCTCCACTGAAAGAGTGAACGTGGAGCCGTACAAGAATTTCATGAGTCCTTGGTAGTTTTGCCTTTATAGCTTCCTTCTGCCATTTTTGTTATATTTTTGATATTTTGCAACTGTGTAGGTATAAAGATGATTATATTTTTATAATTGAATTTTATTGGTGGTGAGAACCTATATATTGGTGTTTTGATTTCTATATAATTCTTGATTTTTTAATTTTTAATATTTGTGTTAATATGAAGAGGACGGATTTCATGTAGTCCATGATACAGTTCTAAGAATAGAAGGATACTTCCCTTCCTTACTTCTTGCTCTCTCTGTTCTGGCTTTCTTCCTTTTAATTTTTGCAATAACATGCTTTCAATTGGTAATCACAGATATGATACCTGACTAAATATAATGGTCCACAAGCAAAAAAAAAAAAAAAAAAAAAAAACCAAAGTTTCTTCTCCCTAATAGTTCTTTTTTGCTCTGATTGTAAAAGAACCTGAGGTATTTCTAGGGACTGTTGAAGTAGCATGGGCTGGGATCTGTACCACTTCCTAAGGGCAAAGCGAGTCCTGAAGGGGTGATTCAGCAGATGCTCCTGTTTGCTGAGAACTGTTCCAAGGGTGCTCCTTGGCTTCAAGAAGAAATACACACTGGCATTTTCCACATTTTATGCAACATCTGTTGCCTCATTTTCTTAGCTAAGGAGACGAGCTGGGCTCCCCTCATGCTGCCATTTCACATTCCAAAGAACGCTGCTTCTACTCCAGCACTGCCTGAGGCTCACATGATTTTGTCTAAATTAAGGGGGGAAAAGGGCTTCCAACATTGTAGAAGGAGGAAACGTCATTGAAGTCCAATATTATTACAGAATATGAGCAATGATCCTCAGCAGGCCCAGGGAAATGCAAACTCCATGTAGGCATCCCTTTCAGCCTCAGCTGGGGACCACCCTCCTGGCCCATATGTCATGGGGGAGTTAGGAGAGCACCAATCCCTGGCCTCCAGCTTACACGCAGGGTACATGCCACCCCATAAACCAAACTCCGGTCCAAGTCCGTGATCAAAGCATTCACATCCCCTCCAAACTCAGCAGCAATTAACAGCAGCGGGCAGCCCCAGGCATGACTTTAATGGACGAGGTCTAACCACATAGGTCTGTGTGTCCTATGTACATAGTCACACTTGCTTTTCTGTAGGTACGCACACGTCAGTGATGTTTTCATTGTTCCTGAGGACTCGACCAAGCGGCCTGGAATCTCCAAGGCACATGAGTGTGTGTCTGTGGTGCTACTGACACTTCCTGGCTTGCAGCCCTTAGACAGGCTTCAGCTGTATGAAAATCCCACACTCACACCTACTCATGCCTCCACTCTCCTCTCCACAGGGATGACATGCCAAGCCCGGAGCTCCTACATCACGAGTGAGATCCTCTGGGGCTACCGTTTCACACCCGTCCTGACGCTGGAGGACGGATTCTACGAAGTTGATTACAACAGCTTCCATGAGACCTATGAGACCAGCACCCCTTCTCTCAGTGCCAAAGAGCTGGCTGAGTTGGCCAGCAGGGCAGAGCTGCCCCTAAGTTGGTCTGTGTCCAGCAAACTCAACCAACACGCAGAACTGGAGACCGAGGAGGAAGAAAAGAACCAGGAAGAGCAGACGGAAAGAAATGGTGATGTGGCAAACCTGGAGAATGAATCCAAAGTGTAGTGGCCTCGCTGGGCACCCCCTCCCTTCGCCCTTGACAAAACCTTTCCTCATCTCTCATTCTCTTAACTATCTCTCTTACTTGGTTCTTCCTTCCATTTAATTTTGATATTGCCAGAAAAAAAAATCTTCAAGGTGTAAAATATCTACCTGCCCTCTCTTTGATATCTAGGCGGACAAGGTAGACATGCATTTGGTTAAGGTGCAATGCAATGTGCCCACCTTTGTGGCCCAAGCCTGGTCTCCTCCCAAAACATCGCATCCAACGCCTGCAGATTTAAACTATGGACCTACATGTGTGGCACAGTAGCAGATCGCTCACAAGGGTGTGTCAACTATTCTACCTGGGATGTGACAAGTAAGGTCACTGGTGCCTATCTTCTCCCGCAGCAGGTCATGGCTTAGAGCCCTCACTTTCTAGATCCCAACACCTGACATCCACAAGGGGCAAGGTGCTTACTCCAGGTGGCCATTGCAGTTACAGGACCCATGACAGCAGAGACAAGCCACTGTACATACACACACCTTATGCCATCCTTTCCTTTTTGCAGTTAGTCACCGCACCCTGCATGTACAGAAGTCCCACAGAACAGCTCTTCTGAATAATGTACATAGATGTTTCATTAACGTAGGCTTAAAATCTGTAGCTTAGGAAATAAGCAAAAACAAACCAACAACAATAACAAAAAAAAATTCCCCAATGTAGTCATTTCTGTTTTGATATCTGTGTTTCCCAGATTCTTTTGAACCCATTGACTGCTGGTCCTTTATCGCATGGCCTTGTTCCAAGTCCCAGACTGGCAAGCCCAAAGGGTACCTAATTGCTCCTTCATCAGTTCTTTCATCGAATCTAATAAGCCATAGGTCTGGGGTGCATTGGGAAGTCCAGTAGAAGACAAGGCCCACCACCAAGATGCTGACATTCTATGGAACATTTGCCAAATGGAGGTCCTAAAAAGGAATAAAAAAGACAGCAAGGGTCTTGCCAATTAGCCTGGGGAGCACATTCTCTTGCGTGTCACCAATGATGTCTTGATGCATCTCACAAGAGCTCTCACCCTTTGTGGTTTAATAGTGTAGGAGACGGAGGCTTCTCTGCAAAACCACTGACCCTCCAGCTGTTCCATTCTGTGAACGATAAACTGTAGACCGTTAAAATGAGACATAGTAAGTGAACAGGTGATGGTTTGAGTCCAAAGCGACAAATCTGGGCAGGCACACAGTGGGTGACACAAACTGTTCCCTGGAACCTGTCAGACTCCCTCAGGAGCTCCAGCAAGGATGTCTCGCCTGTACCTGGGGGCTCTTCCATCATCACATGGGGACTTTTGTATTCTTCATCATTAAACATAAAAAATGAACGGAGTTCAATATTCAAAGATGAAGTCAGCAGTCTTGGCGACTAGCTGAGAAAATGATCTGGGAGGTGCCATGAGTTAAAAATCAAATCCAAAGTGTCTCTCGTTCTAAAGAGGACAAAAGAAAACACTGCAGCCTTAACTCATTCCAATCTGTGAAGATTAATGCAGAAACGCAGAGATAAAGGGAAGGGATGGAGGAAGGAAGGAAAAGAGGGAGAAAGAAAAGAAAGAGAGTGATATTGTGTGCTGAAAATCTAAATTTCAAAATGGGAAAAAATGGGAACAGGAAAAGAATCTTGAACAAACTTCAGGGGCAGGTGGAGATTTTGCACTGTAACAGATCTGACACATCAATTTTGCGTTTATAAACTGCTCATTAACACTGTTGTCCATCATACATATTCATTGAATGGATCCAGTTTGTTTCCAGCTCCTACAGCTGTGCTCAGTTTGCACCACGGCTAGGGAACCTTGTCTACTGAGAAGGTCACCCTGAAGAGATGCGGCAAATGGCTCTTCCATTTAATGCTGGAGTTTCTCTTCTACTTCCAAGATTCTGCATCAAGCAAACCACTCCTTGGCTCTGACTTGAAGGAAAACAAAACTATGGGCCAGCATGTCACATTTTGCGCTGAATATATGTTGAACCATGCATCCACTCCACACACTCTGCGGAGAAGGTGGCAGTTGAGGAGAAAGGGTCTGTAGCGCTTCCTGTGAGGCTGTGGGGCAGATCCCATGCCTGACCTCACTGTGGCCTTATGAAGGCTTTCGCTGCCAGCCCTGCAGCATTCCCTGGGTAGCACAAGACAGAATCAGGGCTGTGAAACACCTGTTAATATAGCGCTTCACAACGCCCTGGGCCTTGAATCCATTACTAAGGTATAAAGGACAACCCAGATCTTGCTGTCTGATTGGAAGAGCAGCTTGGGCCGGATCACTTCTTGCTTGTCCTTTAGCACAACAGAACAGAAAGCCTTGACCACACCCTGGTCCTGAGCCCATGTGGGCTCTGTGTCTGGGACAGGGCTCCCTGTTTCTCACTTTGGTGTCCACAGACTTGGAGAAAGAACTTGAACCAAATTTTGTTTTTGTAACGTGAGCCTCTGTGTCTTTAAATGAGGAAGTTCCTGCTGAACCTTTTATGAGAATGACCCTAACAAACATGTCTATTTTTCTACAGTTATGAAGAATACTGTTTAACAGTGTATTTTGTGTCAATTGTTAAACATTTGGAATTGAAAGACGTTCGTTAAGACTGAATTTTCTAAGCAGCCGGTAGTGAGTGGTGTTATTCCATGAAGTCAGTTCAAAAAAAAAATCTACTCCATTCTATTCCACAATGCCCATTCCTCATCCACCCTCTTGAGTAAATCATGAAAGTGAGTCAGCCTATTTGAATGTGGCCACATCCATCTAATGAGGATGACTCTGAATGTGATGTGTTTGTCTACTTGGTGGTTGCCTCGGAGTCCCCTCTCCATCAGGTGTGGTCAGTGAGGGTCAGGGGTCAGTGAGCCAGACAAGAACCCTGAGTGGAGGCTGCTAGAGGCCGCAGCTGGCCCCAACCCAGCAGGGCAAAGCGCTCCTCAAGAGAAGGGTAGCTTCCACCAGACACAGGACCTCGCTTGCAATTCCTACTTCCAGTTCCTGTCCTTCCCTCCCCCAACTCTCCATCTGGAAAAGCGCCTGTGTGTTTCTAAATCTACTTTCTGTAACTAAATAAAACAGTTGGTGTTTTATGTTATCCCTGGGCAAACCACTTTGTGTGAACACACTTGCCATGCCTGTAACGTCAGCTCATCCCTGCTTCTCACTGTGAATTTCAACCCAGTTACTGCAACCAACAGGCACTCCATGTCTCCGCAGCAAGATGCTCTTACCCACTCACCCGACCCCAGGCCTCTCGTCTGCTCCCTGGTTCTCCACTTCCAAGTCTCTTCATGTAGTTTAGTGTTAGGTTTCCTAACAGAAATCAAACTACTGTCTACAAATTTCAACCTACTTCTTAAGCACGATTTTCTCTTGCAGGCTCAACTCCACTACAGCGCTGACCCGTTTCTCATGACATCCTGTTGTTTTTTGATGTATGACTTCATTTAGAAGCCCGAGTTTTGAAGTTTACATAACATCATTCTTATGCTCTCACTCCTTCGTTGCTTGCATTCTCAATTTCTTACTTTTTCCATTTTTTTGAATTTAGATCCTAGCCAGTTTCTTTGAGAAATTCAAACATTGTTTACAAAAGTGAGAGCTACCAAATAGAGGACGAGAGCATGACAACTTTATCACGCCAGAAGAAGGTGGAATCAGCTGACTCACCGGGTAAATACAAACAAATTTATCCAGTAAGTTAGTTCCAAAACAGGTTGCCAAGCGCCTGATTACATTTTAATCTGTCTTTCCTCAACTGGAGATTCACTCCGCCTTGATAATTCAAAAGGATCAAGAAGAGGGGAGAAATACAAGAGTACTTCAAAAAGTTTGTATAAAATGGAGTTAAAAAGATAACTTTATTTTGGTGGGAAAAACATTGAAATCCATGCATAAATTGAAGGGTCAAAAAGTTGATGAAAAAATGTGTCTATTGAAAAAATAATGAAGAGATTTGTTTAATTTAGTGCTAAAACACATTGATCTTTTGATTTTGGTTTCCACAAACTTTATGAAGTGTCTTCCTAAAAGGAAACATTGTCTTCTGTCGTGATTCCCTTTTGAAGGTAGATAGCTATACAACTAGAACGCAGAGAGGATATATGCAACAGATGGTTCACTGTTATGACATTATAGCCTGGTAAAGCAATGCTAGCTCATTTCTAAACTCTATGGCCAACACACAATTTTTAAAAATTATCTTCTACCTAAAAATTGAGTAAAACATGCCACTTCCTAATACTTTGGCTCTTCATGTCTTTTCACATTAGAATGTTATCTTCATGTCCAAATGGTGTCGGGAGGAGCTAAGGGATTCTGAGGAAGCACAGCATACACAGGAACAACATTTTCCCCTCCCTTGTGTGTTATTTTGGCACATTTGAGTTCTTACTTAAATTATCTCATTTTAATCTTGCCCACTCTAGGGCAAGATTTTTTACACTTAAAGTTGGGGACCAACCATGTGGGCAAATTGAGTCATCTACCCAAGGTCACAAGAGAAGATACTGGATTAAATTCAGTTCATGAGGCTCCAAACCATAGGCTCTTATTACTAAAAAAAAAAGTGCAGCCAACCAAATCTGCAAACAGAATGCAGCCCACCACCCATCACTGAATCACTTGCCAGCTAAGAATGGCTTTCCCAAGTTTTAAATGGTTGAGGGGGAAATTAGACAAAAGAAGAATATTCTGTGATGTGAAAATCCTATGAAATTCAAATGTCTGTGTCCATAAATAAAGATTTATTGGATCACAGTCATGCCCACTTGTTTATGTATTGCCTATGGCTGCATTCACACCATGCTGGCAGAGCTAAGCAATTACAACAGAGACCATATGGCTGGCAAAAACTAAAACAGTTACTATCTGGCCCTCTACAAGAAAAGTGTGCCAATCTCTATACTATACTAGTAAATGCTAGCAAATTAGTATTACTAAATGCTACTAACTGTTAAACACTAGGCATACTAAGAATATTTAAGAATGTGATCAAGTATTAAGCTGTATGCTTAGAAGATTCCTGGGCAACACGGAAGGATACTATTCTCTCGCAGTATAAATCTATTGGAGTTGTTCGTGGGTCTCTGCAAGGAGCAGAGCACATTCTTTTGGTCAAGGGACACCTGCATCACAAGACTTTGAGAGTCCAGTCCTGTAGTCAAGTCTCAAAGGAAGAAAGCTTCCTTTTCATAACCACCACCCTGCCACCCAGAGTTGCAAACAACCAGCCAGAGTTCCACAGTCAATTCCAAAAGCAGACATAGTCTAAGTACTCATTGATGAGTAATAGACTAGCAGAACTCCCAGTCTAGCCACTGAAGTACTGCTGGCACCCAAGGGTGCTGCATGTAGGAGTAGGGGAAAAAGAGTTCCCTCCTTTGAATGGTTTAGCCTTTGGTCTGAACTTACAGGGGCAAACTGGACTTAGCATGTTGGACACACATCACACCAGTCTCTCCTCCCTGCCTCAGCTTCTCTGTCGTGCCATCTTGGACAAGAACCAAGCAGGCTGCTGAGATGTTTCAGTTTTCCTACAGGTTCCCTCCAGTCTGCAATTTACAACTGATCAATGGGGTGAGGATGACCTGGAAACTACCGCTTGTGCTTCATTGCACCCGTGCTGAGTCTCTCAAGATACTCAGCCAGAAGTTTAACTTGCAAATGAAGAAC